CTTAATTTTATTGCAATCGCTTTGTATCCTCCGAGTACAGTCGGTTTTTATCGTATTCTTGGTGGATGTGATTTCTATTGTAGTCAAATTATATTTGAATTCTAGTGTGATCCTAGTACATGTGGTTTCTGGTGTAATCGGGGTCTATGTCTTCCCATTGTATCCGAATTCTATGTTATTCCTGCTGTATTTGAATTCTGGTGCATGTCGTTGTATTTGAATGCCTTTTAATTCCTACTTTTTCCGGCGTCCTTTGTATCCATATTGAATTGGAAATCGATGATATCCCTACTAGGTTCGACTCTCTAGAGTGTCCCCCTTGTTTCCGAAGGCAATTGTATTCTTATGTGGATCAGAACTCCATTGTGTTCCTATGATTGTCGAGTTCTATTGAGTTCCCATTGTGTTCGAATGCTACTGTCCCCCCGTTGTTTTCGGATTTCGTTGTGCGCGTGTTGTCATAGAGTCTTTTTAATTTTCACATTGCAATTTAATTTTTTAGTACTCCGATCGTATTCGGATTCGAATTCGACTGTATTCTTTTTATGTGTGAACGGATTTGTCTTCCTGCTATGTTCGTAGTGTGGGCCACCCTTATGATATTCGAATGTTCGTGCGATCTTATTGTATTTGAATACGATTGGATTCCTAGTGTGTTTGGGGTCTAGTGTGGAAGAAGAAGACAAGCAAACATCGGAAAACGTAATACGTATAGTGCTGCACAACCCTTGCTATCAGAGTGTCAAGGTTGTGCACCTTTCTTCCGTCGATCGCCGGCTCGATGAGATCTTCTTTCTCGTATTCCTCCTCCTCCATTCTCCTCCCTGTTCCGCTCCTGCTTCTCCATCCGTTCTGTGGAAAGTTATCGATCCTGACGCACCCCCCGTCGTGTCGGTAGGGCGGGCAGGCGTTTTGCGCGAGACCTCCTCAATATTTTTGACCGTGGAGACTGACATTTGCAACGCCATCACGGACGGAGGGCGGCTGGTTTTCATAATGTGACTTTCGCGCTAGCGCCGCGCACCTCCGTTTTAAATTTTGCAGCGCCCAAAAATGAGAACGTGCTGTTTTTGAAGCCGTGCCGCTCGCTCGCATCAGCGCCGCGCGCATGAAGCGTTTGCGACAGTTTCAAGGGTTCGTATGGTTGGCTTCTCACGAGTTGTGTATGATTTCTCCAGGTCTCTCAATAAACGTGTGGGGGTGGGTCGCGTGGGGGGTAGGAAACCGCTGTCCTTCGGGGGGCGTGGGGAGGTCGGGGAGCGAGAGGGAGCGGGTTTGGGGCGCGTCGGGGGGTGGGCAAGGGGCGTCGGACAGGTTGGCACGGGGGGGTGCTTATTGAAGGATCTGGGTTTAGGGCTGTCAGGGTGCGACGCTCACGTGGGCTCGCGGTGCTGAGGTCCGATGAGTGGCGTTTTGGCATGATTTAGGACTGCCGGGACGCAGCCGTCACATGGATCCGAGGCGTTGACGTCCCCGGTGGTGCTTTAGGAGTCGCGGCACGATTGAGGATTCTCAGACGGTCGTCTTCGGAGGGGTACGGCCCGCAATGAACGTACATTCGTGCAGGAACCTGTGAGGAGGGCATGTGGATGGAGGGTTTATTTCAACATCGTTGATGCGTCTTGGGTTTGCGCTGGTCCCCCTCCTCCTTCTCTTCCTCCTCCTCCTCCTCCTCCTCCTCTTCCTCCTCCTCCTCCTCCTCCTCCTCCTCCTCCTCCTCCTCCCCCTCCCCCTCCTCCCTCCCTCCTCCTCCTCTCCCTGCTTCCCTCGCCCCTCCCTCCCTGGTTCCTCCCTCTCCTCCTCCTTCTCCTCCTCGCTCCTCCCTCCCCAGGGGCTGCGCCGGGCGGCGCCGTGCCCGCGCCGGAGGGCGCTCCTGCGCCGCCGCCGGGAGGGGCGCCCGACGGAGCGGCTCCTGGCGGCCCCGCGCTGGGCACGCCCGCGGCGCCAGCGGGTGCAGCGGGGCTCGGGGGGGCCGCTCCGCCGGAGGACCTGCCTTCCTCCTCCTCCTCCTCCTCCTCCTCCTTTGCTGCTGCTGCTGCTGCTCCACCTCCCCGTGCCCTCTCCCTTTCTTCCTGCTCCTCGCTGCTTCCTCTGCTCCTCCTCCTCCTCCTCCTCTTTCGCTCTGCCTTTCTCGGTGATCCTCCCTTCTCTCTCCCCCTTCCGTCCTTCTGCTCCATCCTCCTTGCTCTTCCTCCGTCCTTCTCCCTCTCTCCTTCTCTTCTCTTCTCCTCCTCCTCCTCCTCCTCCTGTCACTGTTGCTGTCGGCTTCGGAGTTCGGATCGAAATCTCCTCCTCACTCCTCCGTCCTCCTCCCTCCTCGTCCATCTCTCCCGAAGCCCCTCTGGGGCCTCCGCGACCCCCCGAGGGGCCCGAGCGTCCCCCCTTGACAGCCGCCGGGCCCGAGGACGAGCCCCCCCTGGCGGTGCCGCCGCAGGCTGGTGGGGCGCCAGCGGCGAACGAGGCGGACACAGAAGCAGCCGCGGCATCCACGGCCCCCGCAACAAAGCGCGGGCTCATGCATTGTCCATCCAGAGGAGGAGGAGGAGGAGGAGGAGGAGGAGGAGGAGGGTGAGGGGAAGGATAAGGAGGAGCACCAGTGGACGCCCAAATCTCATCAGCGATGTTGGAATACACTCTCCCTCCGAGCTCCATCTTCATAGGCCCTACAAAATTCAGATCCACTGAGGGAAGTGCCTCGTTGGGAGACCACCGTGTGAAAATCCTCAAGCGTGCAAGCACATCATTATCAGGACTTCAACGCCACGAGTCGACCTGACTGTCGCGTCACTCGTGCCAGAACGCTAGTGCTGGGACGTCAAGGGCCCCATGAGGGGCCTGTGGGGTGAGGGGAATTTGAACTCACATGTCGAGGCCTCCGCTCAGAAGATCCCGAAGCCCGCCAGCTGGCCCCCAAAGACACCCCCGAGATGACACAATAATGCCCACGACGGCCCAATGCGGTTCCAAGAGGACCCTGGAGAGGCCCCGAAGAGGCAAACATCGTTCCATTTCCTTGGGGAAACGCACGTTTGTAGCACATTCGCTGTTATCATGTGCGCAGCAGCGTCTAGAGGCCCCAGCGGCACCTTGGAGAGCCCCCAAACGGTCCTAAAGGTCTCCCAGAGGTCCCCTGCCCGAAGACGGCCCAAGGGGCACCCAGGACCGCCCAAGACGGCCCCAAGAGGACCCCAAGAGGGGCCTGATCGGGGGGGGGGGATTCGAACAGACATGTCGAGGCGTCCACCCCAAGAGGATCCCGAAGACCGCCAGCAGGCACCCGGGACCCTCCCGAGAGGATCCAACAGGGCCCAAGGAGGCCCCGAAGAGGCTCTGGAAGGTGCCCCAAGATGATCCAAAACTGCCTACAAGAGGCTGCCCAGTGAATTCCTAGAGACGCGAACAGGCATTGAAGAGGTCTCACACCAACAACCCAGGCATGCCGTCGCCCCGCAAGCCCTGGCCGTGGCACAGTCCTTCACTCCATCCGTATCCCCCTTCCCTTTGGCTGAGCATCTCTCGGGGGCGTCCCCTGTGAAGTAGCATAAGGGAACGGGAGGAGGAAAAGCAGGAGGAGGTGGAGGACGAGGACGAGGACGAGGGCGAGGAGGAGGAGGAGGACCAGTGTAGACTCAAGACTCATCAGCGATATATGAATAAACCCTCCCCAAGGCCCCCCCTTCACAGGCTCCTACACGAGTCCATCTCCACTGAGGGAACTGCCTCGTTAGGAGACAACCGTTTGAAGACCCTGAAACATGCCAAGGCATCATTCTCGAGACTCCAACGCCACGAATCAACCTGACTTGTCGCGTCTTGACGATCCTGAACCGTGTCGTCAACACCGCGAATCAACGTAACTGCTGCGTCCTCACAGTCCAGAGTCATTCAAAACACTATTTCTGGTACGCTGACCATGGGAGTCCGTGCAACCCTTGTGCTTGTTTAAGAAGAGTGTGCGCGGCGCTAAGGCGAGAGCCACATTTTGAAAAAGGAGCCGCCTTCAATCAGGGAAACTCTTGCATTTTGTATAACGAACGCGCGCGGCGCTGAGGCGAGAGCCACATTCTGAAAACGACCCGCCCTCAATCCGTGATAGTCTTGCCATTAAAATCAAATGTGCGCGGTGCTAAGTCGAGAGCAACATTTTGAAAACCACCCGCCCACATTCCGTGAATCTCTTGCAAATTTTAAGACGAATGTGCGCGGCGCTGAAGTCAGAGCCACATTTGAAAGCCACCCGCCCTCAATGTGTGAAACCGTTGCCAGTTTCATATCTTCAGGGTCATAGCTGGTGAGGAAGTCTCAGGCGAAACGCCCAGCCCGCCCTCTCGACCGGCCTCGGGGTGCGACAAGGAGGAATTGTTTACAAGGAAAAGGAATGGAGGAGGAGGAGGAAGAGGACGAGGAGTGGGAGGAGTGGGACGATGAGGAGGAGGATGAAGAGGAGGAGGAGTAGGAGGAGGAGGAGGAAGAACATGAGGCGGAGGAGGAGGAAGAGGAAGAGGGAGTCTGGTCCTCAATGCGACTTCAAACACCAAAGCGCGCGCTTCCAAGCCAATGATTCGATCATCTGGACACGGCCCCTATGGCATTAAGCGCGCGCGAGGCGCGCGCAATAGGAAAGCATGGTAAATTCCTCGACGAAAACTTCCAGTTCCAGTTCTCAGTTTCCAAGACGGCCCAAGTGGTCCCCTAAAGGGTCCCAAGACGGCCCAAGAGGTCCTCAAACGGGCCCAAGGCGGCCCAAGAGGGCCCCCCCCCAAACGGCCCAAGAGGCACCCAGGACCGCTCAAGACGACCCAGAGATGGCCCCAGGAGGGGCCCTAGAGGGGTGGAGTTCGAACCGACATTTCAAGGCCTCTGCCCCAAGATGACCCAGAATACCGCCAGCAGCCCCCCAACGGCTCCTCAAAAGGACCCACAAAGTTTAAAAGAGCCCAAAAGAGGCCCCGAAAGGCGCCCCCAAGGGCCTCACAACTGCCTCCAAGAGGCTGCCCAGAGGCTTCCCCAGAGACCCGAACAGGCATTCAAGAGGTCTCAGGTGGCCTCCGTAGAGACTACAACATACTTCTTGCACGCCTCAAATCGAAGACACGGGTATGCAAGCACTCTCCATTTCACTCCTCATCTTTTTTCTCGTCCTCATCCTTCTCCTCCTCCTCCCATTCCTCCTCCTCATCCTCCTTCTCCTCCTCCTCCTCCTCCTCCTCCTCCTCCCCCTCTTCTTTCATCCTAACGCCTCCCACCGGCGTCGAGGATTCTGCACACTGCCGACGATTTTGAGGAACACTTTAAAGTAGAACGATGGGTAGGACGAGGAGGAGAGTAGGACGAGGAATATGAGGAAAAAGAGGGCAAGACTTTGCAATTTGATTATTGCTGGCAGGTTTACAATTTGATTCCGTTGTGTCGAAGGTATACATCCTTTGTGTAGCAACTTTCACAACTTGAGTCCACTTTGTGGGGAGTTCTGGAGATTTCGAGTCAGTTTCGTGTTCAGTTTCTTGCTTAGTTCTTGCTCCGTAACTTTGTCGTTTTGTGAGTTTTGTTGTCTGTTTCTTGTCAGTCGGGAGCCCTCGCAGGTACACCTCAAAGAGGAGGATGAGGAAGATGTGGAGAAGGAAGAGGAGGAGCAGGAGGAGCAGGAGGAGGAGGAGGAGGGGGAGGAGGAGGAGAAGGGGGTTGTATGGATTGCAAGTGCAAAAGCTACACAGGGATTTCCCTCGCGAGTGCAAGCGCAGACAAACACAACAACGTAAGCAACTAAGAATAAGTAGACGCTACCGCCAGAACGGACATGTCCATTTGTAAGGCCGCCGCAGAGGGAATTAGTATGTGAGTTGCCGTTTTTTGTGATTTCTGAGCGTCTTGCGTTCTCTGATGTTTCAAATATGTTCGTTTTGGTTTGAGCTTTCTGTGCTTCCTGCCGTGTCCTTTCTTACAACAGGATCCTCCTTTGTGGCGGCCTCATAACATGGATTTCCTTCTCTAGTGCAGACGCAGAAAACGCCAAACATGCAAAACAACAAACAATCACACAAAACACAGAAATCGCTAAAAACGCAAACACTGCCGCCACATAAGACATCTCCCTTTGTAAGGCCGCCGTAACGGAAACCTTGTTGTCGGGTTGCCATTGTGTTTCTTTGGTTTACGGCGTGGTATAAGTTTTGTTGTTGTCATCTGTCATCGTTGCCTTTTGCTGTTGCTGATGGTGGTGAGGATGATGTTGTTGTTGTTGCTGCTGGTGAGGTTGTTGTTGCTGATGTTGTTGTTGCTGCTCCTGTTGTTGATGTTGTTGATGCAGTTGTTGTTGTTGTTCTAAGATGGAGGAAGGCAAATGCGGGGGGGGGGGGCAGACAAACACACAACTACTCGCGCGTGCGTAAATCGGTCAGGACGAATGGCCTGCGCACTGAGACCCTCGCGAGGACAATTGAAGGAGCGAGGGATGAGAAGGAGGAGGTGGAGGAGGAGGGAGTGATCGCTAGGCGGTAGCCGCCGGCGAGCCAGTGCCAGAACAGCAAGGCAAAACTGACAAACCATAAATCGTACTCAACGTAACTACGGTGACAATTCCTCACGCGTGCATAGAACGGGGGGAGACGGGGGAAGCAGGAGCAACGGCGGCGGCGGCGGCGAGAGCAGGAGGAAAGAGACGATAAGGGAGGACCACGTACTGCATCTCTCCAGGCAAATTCCTAACTAAAGGGCGGAAGGTGCTTAGTTGACGCTCCGCCCTTGGCCAGCATAAGATATCTTACACCTTATTGCATGTACTAGCGCTCGCAATGCCATCTGCTTGTTATCCTAAGCACTCCTACTGCTTTCCTGACGCAACGTCGTCTGGGGGCACGCCGATCACAGGACCTACACCTGGCTTTCTTGCTCCGTCGACTCGGCCTGTAGGCTGCGCCAGATGTTAAAGACAAAACAATGTTGTTGCTGTTGTTGTTGTTGTTGTTGTTGTTGTTGTTGTTGTTGTTGTTGTTGTTGAATTCTCAATTCTGCAGAATGAGTGTCATTGATCCCCCCTCCCCGGTAACCAATATATTCCTTCAATTAAAGTGCTTCGCCCGGGGCCCGCACCTTGTTTTTTCAAGGGAAAGCGAGGTGCCACCAAATTGGGTTGTTGGTCCCCAGTTTACAACAACAGCGGCTCCCGCTTGACACTTCCTCACAACTCATTCCCAAATCGCGCTCTCGTGCTGGACTTCCCCACAATGTACGCAGGAATCGCGCTCTCGCGTAGGGCTTCCTCGCACTTCATTCAGACGCCGCGCCCTCGACATTCAGAAACCACGCTGTCGCCGTGGATTTCCTTACGATTTATTTGGGAGTCGCGCTGTCGCTCGAGACTTTCCTCGCGGTTCATGCAGGGCGCACGCTTCAGCAACCCGCCTGCTCGACCTGGCCGCCTTGGCCCGCCTTCCCGACCCCCCTGTTGGGGTCTACCCGCCCGATCTGCCCGTCTGGTTCTGCCACGTATTTTCTGCTCCT